AAATTAGAATTTTATGATAAAGCTCCATATTAGAAACTCATGCACAGACAAATCTTATGTTACATTCCTCAAGTCAAGCCACTCCTGAACCAGAGACGTCAGAAGTGTCCAAAACTCTACAAATAAAATAAATCCATCATCTTTCTTGTCATTGTAGTACCAGTCTGATATTGTTATGAACAGATCGTTTTTTGAGAAGACCAGATTGTGATTCACTAATAATTTTGAGGTATATCCTTATGCATGCTCAATAATCCAGGTAGAATCATCTAAAAAAGTCTGGTCCTCTGGACATTAAAAAAACCCGAAACAAAACAAAAAAATTGTAGATGTCTTTCATCCAAGAGACTTCCTCAGTCTGAGGAGCTGTTTTCAGCTCAGTCTCTTAAATAGCACCTTCTCAGAGTGGATCAACCAGTTTGCTGCTGACAACCAAAACCAGCTGATCACATGCTCAAGAAGGACCATCAGCCTAACAATGGATCATTAGCACACTGATGGCTGTTTACTGTTCACAGAGGGCTGAGTGATACTAGCAATCACAGCATTGTAAGAGGGGGACAGTTGAACCCGGAGGCCTCCACCCCTGTTTAATGATGGACAATTTCTTTTCACAAAGATGGCCTCCTTTACTCCTCTCTCAAACCATCGTTCCTCTCTGTCCAGGATGTGAACATCTTCATCCCTGAAAGAGTGACCGCTGGCCTGGAGATGAGTGTAGACCGCAGAGTCCGGGCCTGATGATGTTGATCTTCTGTGCTGGACCATCCTTTTGGCCAGTGGCTGTTTTGTTTCCCCGATGTAAGACTGATCACCCTCCTGACACTGAACAGCATACACAACATTACTCTGTTTGTGCCGGGGGACTGGATCTTTGGGATGAACCAGTCTTTGCCGTAATGTATTTTGGGGTTTAAAAGCCACTGGGACGTTATGTTTAGAAAATAAACGTCTCAGTTTCTCTGATACTCCCTCAACATATGGAATGACCACTGGTCTGGGTCTGGGTTCCTCCTTTTCACCTGTTGGCTGACTGGAGTCCTGTTTGGGTTTTTTCTCTGCTTTTAGGAAGGCCCAGTTAGGATATCCACATTGCTCTAGAGCCTGTCTTGTGTGGGATTTCTCCTTCTGCCTGGCTCCTGAGCTAGTGGGGACGCTGTCTGCTCTGTGATACAGAGTCCTGATGACTCCTAACTTGTGTTCCAAAGGGTGATGGGAGTCAAACTGCAAATACTGGTCTGTGTGTGGGTTTGCGGTACACCTCGGTTTGCAAAAGTCCTCTATCAGAGACTGAGACCTCACAGTCCAAGAAAGCCAACCTGCCATTTTTTACATCTTCTCGTGTGAACTTGATGTGTTTATCCACAGAGTTGATGTGGTCAGTAAAATGTTGGACTTCCTGAGATTTAATTTTAACCCAGGTGTCGTCAACATACCTGAACCAATGACTTGGTGGTGTCCCTGAAAAGGACGTCAAGGCTCTCTTTTCTACCTCCTCCATGTACAGGTTGGCAACAATAGGAGAAACTGGAGACCCCATAGCACACCCATGTTTCTGCCTATAATATTGCTCCCCATATGTGAAGTAGGTTGACTGCAGGTACAGTTTCAAGAGTTGACACAGTTGTTCTGTGGAAAGTGTGGTCCTGCTGCTCAGAGTGGTGTCTGATTTTAATTTTAAACTGACCACCTCTACTGCATCATCAACAGGAACGCACGTAAAGAGTGATGTGACATCAAAAGAGACCATTGTTTCATCAGTCTCCATGATGACATCCCTCACCTTATCCACAAAGTCCATGGTGTTCTGTACGTGGTGTTCTGAGCTGCCAACTAAAGGGATGAGTACAGACGCCAGATATTTGGAAACATTGTAAGTGACAGAGTTAATCATGCTAACAATTGGTCTTAAAGGTACACCTTGTTTGTGGATTTTAGGTAAACCATACAGACTAGGTGTGGCCTCCCCTGGGTACAGTCTGTGGTACAGAAAACAGTCAATAGCCTTGTCCTGCTCCAAAATTTTCAGGCAATCTATCAATTTCTTCTTGTAACCACTTCCTGGATCTCTTTTCAGAGGTTCATAAGTGTTTAAGTCACTAAGGAGTGTCATAACTTTCTCATGATAGTCTTTCTGGTTCAAAATCACTGTGCACCTTCCTTTGTCTGCTGGGAGAATGATGATGTTTTTGTCCTTGCTAAGAGTGGTGAGTGCATCCCTCTCCTCTCTACTGATGTTGGAAGCTGGTGGTTTGGCATTGCTGAGGCAGGCTGAAACTTTGATTCTGAGCTGTTCTGCTTCAGCCTCTTTAATTTTGTTGTTGCGGATGGCTGACTCAGTAGCTGTGATCATCTCCACCAGAGGAATTGTCCTTGGTGCAACCGCAAAGTTCAGTCCCCTGGCAAGAATCTCTGTCTCAGGCTGGGTGAGCTGTCATCACTCAAAACTGGATGCCGTTACTTCTCCATCACTCAAAACTGGATACCCATGGGTATCCAGTTTTGAGTGATGGAGAAGTAACGGCAGTCGAAAATAAAGAGAAAGCAGAAATGATGGCTAAAGCTTTTATTAAAATTCATAGTTCAAATAATATTAGTGAAGAAGAAAAAAGAGGAAGAGAGAGAACAATAACAGAAAATAAAAAGTTCTTAGAAGAAGAGGAAGGAGAAAATGATTTATTAAATATAACTTAGTTAAATCGAGCACTTCAAAAATGTAAACTATCAGCACCAGGAAATGATCTGCAAAGTTATGGAGAAAATGACAAATGAAAGAATAGCATATTATGTAGAAAAAAAATGGATATTTGTCTAAATATCAAAGTGGTTTTAGAAAAGGAAGAAACACGATGGATCCAGTCTTGTGTCTGGAACATGAGATCAGAAAAGCCCAGATCAACAAATAAAGTGTGGTGGCCGTGTTTTTTGATGTAGAGAAAGAGTACGATATGATGTGGAGAGAGGGATTACTTATAATAATAATAATTTAAAAAAGGGAATCACAGGTCGAATGTTTAAATGGATAAAAAAAAATATATATAGTAGACAAATACAGGTGAGAAGAGTACTCAGATAAACATAGAAAATGGGACACCACAGGGAAGTATAGTTAGCCCTTTATTATTCTCTATAATGATAAACGACATGTTTGATGATATATAAATGGGAATGGGAAGGTCTTTATTTGCTGACGATGGGGCTTTGTGGAAGAGAGGCAAAAATCTACAGTTTATTATCAAAAAGGTACAGGAAGCAATAACAACAGTTGAAAAATGGTCAAATAGATGGAGAGTAAAATTTTCAATAGAATAGACAAAATCAGTAATTTTACAAGAAAAAACATACCTAATAAAAGTGAACTCGGGTTGTATGGAAAAGTAATTGAAAGAGAAAAACAGTTTAAATTTCTGGGCATCTGGTTTGATGAGAGACTAACATGGACAGTGCACATCCAAAAAGTTACTGACAAATGTAAAAGGATTTTAAACATCATGAGGTGTTTGACAGGGAAAGACTGGGGAGCAGACAGGAAAGCACAAAGGACCATCTACACAGGATTAATCAGATCAATAACAGACTATGGGAGTATCGTTTATAGTTCAGCTTCAGAAACAAATTTAGAAAAGTTAAACAGTATTCAATATCAGGCATTAAGGATTATTACCGGGGCATTCAAAACAACACATACAGGATCAATATTAGTAGAAATGGGAGAACCACCACTGAACATCAGAAGAGAACAATTAGCATTAAATTACTGGGCAAATCTGAAAGGACACGAACAAAACCATCCAACACAAGAAATATTAAAACCTTGCTGGGAGAAAGAAAAGAAACATAAAAAGCTTTGGATGGACCATAAATCAAAAGTCAGCAGAAAGTCAAATAGATGATGTTAACGTCAGCCCAACAGTTCCACTTCCAAACATACATCCATGGTTATTCACAGACACAACAGTTGATTTAAAAATATTAGAACAAAATAGAAATGGATTGATTTCAAATACAGTTATCGAACACATCAATAAATATTATGGATATGTAAAAATATATACAGATGCTTAAAAAAATACAGCAGGTCAAATAGGGGCAGCATTTATTGTACCAGAGTTTGGAGTTAAAGTAGGGAAGAGATTAAACAACAAATTATCAGTATACACCGGAGAAATAGTCCCAATATTACTGGCAGTTCAATGGATAGAAGACAATCAACCACTCAGATCAGTCATATGCTCAGATTCCAGTTCATCAGTAATTAGTATAAAAAACAGTTGTTCAGAAAGCAGACCAGACATATTGACAGAAATACAGCAAACATTATTCAAAATTAATATGATGGGGTTAACGGTTACATTTTTATGGATTCCAGCTCACATCGAGGAAATGAAATGGCAGATAAAATTGCAAAGAAGGCCACCAAACACAACTCAGTGGAAATAGAGGTAAAAATCAGTTGGGCAGAAATAAAAAGCATCACAAAGCAGACAATGAGGGAAAGATGGCAAAAGCAATGGGAAGAAGAAAGAAAAGGTCGATGAATTCAACGAAAAGCTGGAGAAAAGAAACAGAAGGGAGGAAACTGTCATATCAAGACTCAGATTAGGACACTCAGGATTGAACAGGACATTATTCGTGATAGGAAAGAAACACCGGTAAACTGTGGGGAAGATGAGACCGTACAACATGTGCTAATGATCTGCAAGAAATAAGAAAGAAAGCAAATGATTCATAGACTCGATGCAACAAAAGTTAGTGATGATACAATGAAACTCAAGTTCTGCAAGTACCAACATCTTGGTGAGATACCTGAAACGGACTCAGTTGTTTGAAACATGAGTGTTATTTATTTATTTATACATTCTCATGGATATTTTGTTTTGAGCGTCATTCCAGTTTACAATCTAAACCAGTAGATGGCGGTAATGCTTGCAAAATTTGAACTCCAAACGCCAAAGAAAATCGAAGAAGAAGAAGAAATCAAAGTAAACCGAAGAAGAAGACGACGACGAGATTACGGATGTGGCGCCATTTCGCTTCATTCATTAGTATCGAGGCCTTCCTCTGTGTACAGGTAAAATAAAACCGACAGGTTGGAGACGAGAGGCTAACATGTTGTAAAAAGCTCTTGACGCAGAGCTGCAGTCACGTCGCTTCTGGTGAAGGCTTTGAAAGGACGAGAGGCCTAAATAACGCGGTGATGGTGTTAGCTAACGCTAGCTTCCTCATCCTTCTGTAAATATTAAATGTAGTGGCACACAGATGAGTTAAACGAAACGAGGACAAGGCGCTGAAACTGCTCACGTTTATGACTGTAGTGCTGTTAATAATTATAATAATTATAACTTTGGCGCTAAAACAACCCGTGACCATCACTTTAGTGTTAGCACAACGTGGAGTTTTGTTTACACCTCTGGACTGTTAGAAACATGTCCGTGGTGGAAGAAGTTGATCAGAGTCAGTGTAGAAACACTTTCTAACATTGTGTGTTTTATCTTTAGGACTTAGTGTCGTTTTTTTAGGTTTGGTTGTGGTAGACCTGGATTAGCTCGCGCGCTCCCGGCTCATGTTGCAAAAACAAAATATTAATTCATCAAAAACTCAAGTTTTCACTACATGAACCTAAATCTTTAACATCTAACCCCCTGGAGAGACATAAAGTAATTTATGACAGAGGTCTGGCCAGTAAAATAGCTGTTCTAAGTTATTGTGGCTACCTGAGCTAAACTTTATGATGATGTCATAAAGTTGGATAAGGCAGAAACTCACGAGTTGTTTTATTTAAAACTAACAGTTTAGTGTGAATAAAAATACTTGAACATTAAAAACTGCATGATTGATAATAACGCAAGGAACTAGAATAACACAATCATCATAATGAATGCAAAAAAAAAACACAATATCCATATTTATATCCGTAAATCCATATTTTCCAAACAGCACAATGTTTTTAGTTATAATCCAGTGTAATATTTAAATCTGCTGATATTTACAAACTATAAACGCGTGAAACTGAGTCTTTCACAGAGAGAATGTTATTTTTTTAAATGTTTTTGTTTTTTTAGAAAAAGGTAAAACATTTTCGCTCTAATCTTGGGCGATTAAATATACATGTTTTAGTGTTAATTTTACAGTTTGACCCCAAGAGCTAAAACAGCATAAACACCCAGAATAATTAATTCAATTTTCAATTCAGTTTATTTATATAGCGCCAAATCGCAAAAGAAGTTATCTCAAGGCACTGAACAGAAACATTTACATACATAAAAAGAAGTTAGTAATGTTGTTAATGTAGGTTATAGTTAATGTTATTATTAATACTATTATAAATGTGTGCACTCCCACAGGGCCCAAACGCATTTTAGTGCAACACCTGTCTGCGCGTGTTAGCCATGAAGCGAGTGTTGAGGCAGGTGCACAGACATGTAGCTTCAACACCAACTGTGTGACGGACGTCCACCTCGTGTATTTTTTAAAACATGATGAATTAACTCAGTTTAGTGATCTCAGATTAAAATCCTCGGTTTTAGTGATAACGCACCTCTCAGTTTTTCAAGCTTACATTCTCAGAAATACTTTTAAAATAATGTAAGAGAAAGATTTGTTGTTTTGTGCAGCTCTAAAATAGGTTCAGCCTGCAACAAGATGATGTGACTTTTAGTTCCACCTTCTACATGTTTTGGTCGTGGAGGGGGAATCATTCAGTGATGTCATTCATGCCACCTTCCTGGCATGACCCAAACTAGAGCTGGGCGATATGAGCCAAAATTTATATCCATATTTTTTCTTTCCATCCATCCATTATCTTTACCCGTTTATTCCATTTTGGGTCACGGGGGGGTCGCCTGTGCCCATGTCCAGCAATCTCTGCGAGGGGCGGGGTACACCCTGGACAAATCTCCAGTCCATCACAGGGCCACATAGAGACAAACGAGACAAACAACCATTCACTCTCTCACTCACACCTAGGGACAATTTAGAGTTACCAATCAGTCTAACGTGCATGTTTTTGGTCTGTGGGAGGAAACCGGAATATCAGGAGAAAACCCACGCATGCACGGAGAGAACATGCAAACTCCACCCAGAAAGGCCCCCGGACCGGGATTTGAACCAAGGACCTGCTCGCTGAGAGGCAGCAGCTCTACCAGTTGCACCACCATGTTGCATTTTTTCATTCCATAAAGTAATAACAAAAACCTATTTCTGAGTCAAAGTTTTGTCCCAGTTGTCACACAGCCTCATTTATTAACAGCTGTAACTACAAAATAAATGCCTAAAAATAAACTATTAGACAACTATTTACATATATTAAATAATAATCCTCTTCAGCTGAGAGGCTAGAGCAGTCGTCCTCCAATGGGAGAGTTGAGGGTTCGATTCCACCAGCGAGACACTGAACCCATCATTGTCTCTGATGTGCGTCTCTGTGTATGAATGTGATAAAGCTCTGATTAGTCTCTGTACAGATCTAGTAGAGTGCATGAATGGGTCAGTGAGGCACAGATTGTGTTGTAAAGACCTGTGAGTGTCTTGATCAGATAGAAACGAGCTGTATATGTACAGTCCATTCAGCTGCGCTGCCTTCATCTTAGTCAGTGTGTGTGAACTGCGGTAAAGTGAGCCTCCTCTTGGAACCGTGAAGCTGCAGGTCTGACAGACCCGACTCCTTCCCTGAAACAAACCACGGTTCAGAACTCATTTAGCTGTGCTGTGGCTTTTACAGGAACACACAGAGGAAGTGCGACATTAATAAATCAGCAGTTTTATTATATCGCTAAAGACACGGTCCCGTCTCAGCTGTGGAACAAGACGGCTAAAGCGTTAGCCGTCTTGTTAGCCGCTAAGGACCGTATCTTTAACGATATGACCTCTATGTGACTTCAAACATCTGTTAAGTTCCTGGCAAGAACCAATGCAGATAAACTCACAGACTCATGTTCGTGCTGCTCGACGTAATGTTTTTTATGTTATGAGTGCTTAGTGTATTTTTAGTTGATGTTTTTCTTGGTTCATATCTTTGATGTTATCACTGTTTTTTTTACATTTTTATTGTTGGATGTAACTGGGACCCTGTGTACATATTGTCGTCCCACCACATGTACCACATGCGCTGGGACGACAATAAAGAATCTCTGCCTGACGTTCATTCAACCTTTCTTTATACAGGTTAGTGTTGTTGAGCCTTGAGGCCTCATTTACAAGAGAGACCTGATTTTAACAGAGTGATGACAACAACGACAACAGAAGACGAGCATTAAAGAAAGCAAACAAATTGAGAAGAACAAGTGAAAGAAAATTTGTATTAAAAAAGGAAACATAAAAACAGCTAGATTATAAGGCGGTGTAGAAAACTAAAAACAGGAACATGTCTGCGTTGGTTCTTGCCAGGAACTTAACAGATGTTGGAAGTCATTTAGAGACATGTTCCTGTGTTTAGTATTCTAGTGTTCTACATAGTTTTATAATCTAGCTGTTTTTTTCTTTCATTTTTTATACCATTTTCTTTCATTTATTCTCAATTTATATGCTTCTTTTTATGATTGTCCACTGTTGTCATCACTCTTAGTTAAAAAATAGGTCTCTCTTGTAAATGAGTCCCCGAGGCTCAATGAGACTAACCTGTATAAATAAAGGTTGAATGAATATAAGCTCCTGGCTGTAGAAATAACATTTTCTTAGCACAAGTTCAAGTAATGGAAAATATTAAGAGGAAACTGGTTCTTTATGGCGTTCATCGTGTCATAAGCTTAACTCGGTGCTCTGTCCATTGTTGGGTGAATAACACACAATGTGTGCGTTCTGCAGCTTTCTCCCCTTTTAACCTAATTTTAAACACAGAAAATGAAAGAACACTTGTCTAAGTGCACGGCAGAGCAGTGTTTAGCTCATTGGCCTCACAGAATGAAGGTCACAGACTTGCGTCTCGATCTGGGTGGAGTTTACATGTTCTCTCCGTGCGTGCGTGGGTTTTCTCCAGGTACTCCGGTTCTAACATGCATGTTGGGCTGATTGGTAACTCTAAATTGTCTCTAGGTGAGAGAGAGAGAGTGAATGGTTGTTTGTATCATTTGTCTCTGTCCCTCCCTATGAGACCTGTCCAGACCAGGGTGTCCCCCACCTCACTCACAGAGACTGTTGGAGATGGGCATCAACTCCCCATGACCCAGAAAGAAGTGGGTAAAAGAAAGGGATGGATGGATGGATGTCTAAATGCTGTTGTGTCAACAAATTGATGTCATTGTTGCAAACTTCTTGTGTGAAATTAGCTTAAACCAAATATCGCTGTCGTAGCTGACCTGACCCCTGTTTTAGTTTCAAGGTCGTTCAAGGATGTTATTTAAATCTTGTTGTGTGAGTGATCATTGTATTTTGTCCTTACGTTGAAAGATTTGTCTTTCTTTTGTATGTCATTGTGAAATGTTAACTGAATCTTTTTTTTTTATCTTCCAGAGTATCCAGAATTCACCATGGTGAAAATTTTTATTGGCAACCTTGCCAATGATACGACCATTAAAGAACTGCGTGCACTCTTTGAGAAGTACGGCACAGTCAATGATTGTGACATCCTCAAGAACTTTGGTTTTGTGCACATGAGCAGCATGGCCGACGCAGAAGAGGCCATCAAAAACCTCCACCAGACGGAGCTGAACGGCTGGGCCATGAATGTGGAGCTGAGCAAAGGCAAGCCCAGGGCCTCCGCTAAGCTCCATGTCACAAACCTCTCTGAGGAGGTCACGACGGAACAACTTTGGGCTCAGTTTGAGGAATTTGGCCCTGTGCTGGAGTGTGATATTGTGAAAACCTATGCCTTTGTTCATATGGCGAGAATGGAGGATGCCTTGGAGGCCATCAATAAGCTGGACAACAAAGCTTTCCAAGGTGAACTCATGAGCTGGAAAACTGTCTGCAAGTTTTAGATTCTTTTGTAAGAAATCAAGTCCTCTAGCAGGCTATTTATAACTCAAACAGCATGGAAGATTTTGTCAGTCATTTATATAAGCAGTGTCATTGTCACTGGTGATGAGACACGGCACTGACGAAAGTAAATCACCTGCAGCTGGTGCTACAGATCGTTTGCTTTTGCACTTATAATCAGTCAGATGTTATGTTCTAATGGGTCAGACCCTTTTTATGTTGAACCACACGGTCTTATGTCTGTCTTCTTTTTCCTTACAAGGCAAGTTGATGAAAGTTCAGATGTCAACCAGTCGCCTTCGCACTGCCGCAGGAATGGGAGACTATAAAGGCTGCTATGTCTGTGGGAAACAGGGCCATTGGTGGAAAAGCTGTCCGAACGACGACAGTGATGGCGCAAGAAGTGAAAGCAGTTGGTTCCCCCCACACCTTATGGCCTCACCTCCAGCAGCTGATTACAGGAGTAGCTCTGCGTATAGCCAGGCTAGTTACTCTGGCAGGTTGCCGCCACCGCCGCCTCCTCCTCCTCCTCCCAGGTTTAGCAGTTACGGATCAAACCAGGGGGGTTGGTACGCCAGCAGAGCAGCGGGCTCTTACGCAGACAGGTCAGAAGTTTACAGTCGCAACCACCTGTACAGCAGCGTTAACTATTATGATAAGTATAGAGCGCATTATGGCTCAAGCCAAATGGAGAAGCGTTACTTGTCCTACATTCCTCCTCCTCCACCGCCCACTTCTTCCCTCTCCAAGCTCACATCCAGTACAAATCCATACGACCACCGGCCGTTGGCTCCATCTTCGTCAGCTTCCATGTACTATACACGAGAGCCCATCACACACGCTCCAAGCTCCTCATCTTCATCGGCTGCTGTGTACTATACACGAGAGCCCATCACACAAGCTCCAAGCTCCTCAACATCCTATATCCTCGAGCGAAAACGTTTGTCACCACAACCTGCCTCCAGGAGCTCCTACCCTGCTTTACGACCTAAGGATCCGTATGCACAGCGTTATGCACCTTACTAAAGCCATGGTGCCAAGGTGAGCAACAAGCCGATGCAGTATCACCAATATCGTTCAGAAGTCATTGTAACGTTTGATAATGGAGCTCTTCATATTTGAACTTAAAGTTGTATTTTAAACCTATCTCACTTTTGTTTTGAACCTGTGACATTTTTGACGCAGGCATCTCTACAGTGGCCGACAGGTGCACATGAGCCACAAGCAGCTAAACGCACAGCAAACAGCTAAACATGCTGTAAACAGTTAAACACAACATGAACGATGCAAACTCAAAAACAAACAAAAATTCTGCAAAAGAAAAAGAAACTGCAATTACAGAAAATGGACATTAAAAAACTACAACTAGGGCTGGGCGATATCTCGATATTTTAAGAATATTGAGCTAATTTCATTTGTGATATAAGATGAGACTATCGATATAAACCATATGGTGTTCTATTTGAAAGTCTGCCAGCTATCTTCTCTTTCTCCCACACAGCCCCTCCTCCCTCAATGAATACAAACTCAGCCCCTCTCCTACACGTGTATGGAGAGCCATTTCATTCAAAATTAAATAAATGGTGTTTTTTGAAAAATATTAATAAATATTCCTTTAAATAAATAAGTGTTCCCATGAAATAAAACACTTAAATAGAAATGTTTAGTTTTTGAACCTGTGATATATTTGATACTTATATTATTGTGATATATTGTGATACTTCCCATGGGCTCACCACCTGTGGGAGGGGCCAAAGTGGTCGGGTGCAATGTGGAATGGGTGGTGGCCGAGGGCTTTCTGTTCAGTGCCCTGAAATGACTTCTGTTGTGACTTTGTGCTATATAAATAAACTGAATTGAATTTAAAGAGAGTATCTTAGATGGGTGGTGGCCGAGGGCTGGGACCCTGACGGTCTGATCCTCGGCTACAGAAGCTGGCTATTGGGACGTGGAATGTCACCTCACTGGTGGGGAAGGAGCCTGAGCTGGTGTGTGAAGCTGAGAGGTTCCGGCTAGAAATAGTCGGACTCACCTCTACGCATGGCTCTGGCTCTGGAACCAGTTTCCGTGAGAGGGGCTGGACACTCTTCCACTCTGGAGTTGCCCCTGGTGAGAGGCGCCGAGCAGGAGTGGGCATACTTATTGCCCCCCATCTTGGTGCCTGTGTGTTGAGGTTCACCCCGGTGAATGAGAGGGTGGCCTCCCTCCGCCTACGTGTGGGGGGACGGGTTCTGACTGTCGTTTGTGCTTATGCACCAAACGGCAGTTCAGATTATCCACCCTTTTTGGAGTCCTTGGAGGGGGTACTGGAAAGTGCACCTCCTGGGGACTCCCTTGTTCTGCTGGGGGGACTTCAATGCTCACGTGGGCAATGACAGTGAGACCTGGAGGGGTGTGGTTGGGAGGGACGCCCCCCCCCTGATCTGAACCCGTGTGGTGTTCTGTTGTTGGACCTGGCAGACCCAAACATGTTGTGAGGGTTTGCTGGGAACGTCCTGTGAGACGGAGTTTTAACTCCCACCTCCGGGAGAACTTCGAACATGTTCCGAGGGAGGTGGGGGACATTGAGTCTGAGTGGACCATGTTCCGTGCCTTTATTGTCGATGCGGCTTACCGGAGCTGCGGCCGCAAGGTTGTCGGTGCCTGTCGCGGCGGCACCCTTCGAACCCGGTGGTGGACACCGTCGGTGAGGGATGCTGTCAGGCTGAAGAAGGAGTCCTATCGGGCCTTTTTGGCCTGTGGGACCCCGGAAGCAGCTGATGGGTATCGGCAATCCAAGCGACATGCTGAGGCAAAAACTCAGGCATGGGAGGAATTTGGAGAGGCCATGGAGAATGACTTCCGTACGTCTTCGAGGCGATTCTGGTCCACCATCCGGCGTCTTGGGGGGAAAGCGGTACGCCACCAACACTGTTTATAGTGGGAGTGGTGCGCTGCTGACCTCAACTCGGGATGTCGTGGGTCAGTGGGCAGAATACTTTGAAGACCTCCTCAATCCCACCGGCACGTCTTCTACTGAGGAAGCGGAGCCTGGGGACTCTGGGTCGGGCCCTCCAATCTCTGGTGCTGAGGTCACCGAGGTGGTTAAAAAGCTCCTCGGTGGCAGGGCCCCAGGGGTGGTTGAAATTTGCCCGGAATTCCTTAAGGCTCTGGATGTTGTAGGGTTGTGTTGGCTTACGCGACTCTGCAATATTGCGTGGACATCGGGGGAAGTTCCCCTGGATTGGCAGACTGGGGTAGTGGTCCCCCTATTCAAAAAGGGGGGCCGTAGAGTGTGTTCCAACTACAGGGTGATCACGCTCTTAAGCCTCCCTGGTAAGGTCTATTCGGGGCTTCTGGAGAGGAGGGTCCGTCAGATAGTCGAACCTCGGATTCAGGAGGAGCAGTGCAGTTTTGTCCTGGTCGTGGAACACTGGACCAGCTCTACACTCTCAGCAGGGTCCTGGAGGGTGCGTGGGAAATTGCCCAACCGGCCAAGGTTGCCCTTTGTCACAGATTCTGTTCATAACTTTTATGGACAGAATTTCTAATTCGCAGCCAAGGTGTTGAGGGGATCCGTTTTGGTGGCCTTAGGTTCGCTTCTCTGCTTTTTGCAGATGATGTGGTCCTATTGGCTTCATCAGATCGTGATCTACAGCTTTCGCTGGAGCAGTTTGCAGCCGAGTGTGACGTGGCCGGGATGAGGATCAGTTCCTCTAAATCCGAGGCCATGGTCTTGAGCTGGAAAAGGGTAGAGTGCCCTCTCCGGGTCAGGGAGGAGGTCCTGCCCCAAGTGGAGGAGTTCAAGTATCTTGGGGTCCTATTCACGAATCAGGGAAAAATGGAACGTGAGATCGATAGGCGGATAGGTGTAGCATCGGCGGTGAAGCAGGCGCTGTACAGGTCTGTCGTGGTGAAGAGAGAGCTGAGTCAAAAGGCGAAGCTCTCAATTTACCGATCGATCTACGTTCCTACCCTCATCTATGGTCATGAGCTTTGGGTTGTGACCGAAAGAACGAGATCTCGGATACAAGCGGCCGAAATGAGTTTTCTCCGCAGGGTGTCTGGGCTCTCCCTTAGTGATAGGGTGAGAAGCTTGTTCATCCGGGAGAGACTCAGAGTAGAGCCGCTGCTTCTCCACGTCGAGAAGCCAGTTGAGGTGGCTTGGACATCTGTTTAGGATGCCTCCTGGACGCCTCTCTGATGAGGTGTTCCGGACACGTCCCACCGGAAGGATGCCCAGAGGAAGACCCAGGACACGCTGGAGGGACTATGTTTCTCAGCTGGCCTGGGAACGCCTCGGGATTCCCCCGGAGTAGCTGGCTCAAGTGGCTGGGGAGAGGGAAGTCTGGGCCTCCCTACTTAGGCTGCTACCCCTGCGACCCGACCCCAGATAAGCAGAAGAAAATGGATGGATGTTTAGTTTTTTCCCCAAGATTTATTTTTTACTTATTTCAGGATTTATATTTATTTATTTCAAGATTTATTCATTCAGTAATGGAGTTTCATTTTGTGACATTTTTTTAAAGCTACTTTACATATTTCAGGATCTTTTGCTATTTTTTTTACTTCATGCAACGTGGATTTTGTGCCTCTCCTCTTCCTCCAGACTGGGATTTTGATTTCCAAATGAAATGCAAAATGTACTTTCATCAGAGAACATAACTTTGGACCACTCTGCAGCAGTCCAGTCCTTTTTGTCTTTAGCCCAGGCGAGACGCTTCTGACACTCTTGTTCAAGAGTGGATTGACACAAGCAATGCAACAGCTGAAACCCATGTCTTGTATACGTCTGTGCATGGTGGTTCTTGAAACACTGACTCCAAGCTTCAGTCCACTCTTTGTGAATCACCCCCACATTTTGGAATGGGTTTTGTTTCACCATCATCTCCAGGATGGTTATCTCTATTGCTTGTACACTTTTTTCTACCACATTGTTTCCTTCGCTTCACCTCTCTATTAATGTGCTTGGACACAGAGCTCTGTGAACAGCCAGCCTCTTCAGCATTGACCTTTTTTGTCTTGCCCTCCTTGTGCAAGGTGTCAATGGTCGTCTTTTGGACAACTCTCAAGTCAGCAGTCTTGCCCATGATTGTGTAGTCTACAGAACTAGACTGAGAGACCATTTAAAGGCTTTTGCAGGTGTTTTGAGTAAATTAGTTTATTAGAGTGTGGCACCAGGTGTCTTCAGTTTTGAACCTTTTCACAATATTCTAATTTTCTGAGATACTGAAATTGGGGTTTTCAGAGTCAGACTTTCTTTATTTGCCATTTGCATCTCATGTGGTGCATGTGGTGGAGCAAAATTTTGTTAACAGGGTCCCAGTTACATCCAACAATAAAATGTAAAAGAAAAACCATACCATACCACTTTATTTATAAAGCACTTAAAACAGCAACAAGACCAACCAAAGTGCTGTACAGACAAAACAACAGGTAACACACAAAGCAAAATACAAAATGAGGTAAATCAGAATATAGACAAAAAACAATGCAGATAATGACAACAACCCAGTGTGGAGCGTACAGGTTCAAAACACAGATCATCTGGTGTTGAAAGCTACTGAATAGTAGTGAGTTTTTAAACGGGACTTGAAAACCGAGAGGGAGGGGGCCAGTCTGACAAGCAGAGGTAACTCGTTCCAGAGTCTTGGTCCTGCTACAGAGAAGGCCCTGTCACCTCTGCGCTTAAGACGAGTTCCTGGAACTGTGAGGAGCAACTGGTCCGCTGACCTCAGGGAACGTGGTGGGACATACGGTTGTAGCAAATCAGAGAGATGGGGGGAGGGGGGGGTGGACACTGTTCAGTGATTTGTAGACATACAGGAGTATTTTGAACTGGATTCGAAAGTGAACCGGTAACCAGTGCAGTGAAGCCAAAACTGGTGTAATGTGCTCTCTTTTGCCTGTACTGGTTAAAAATCTGGCTGCTGCATTCTGGACAAATTGTAGTCGTGCAATGGAGGTCTGACTGATACCAAACAGATCCAGATCCCAGTCTCAGCTGTGGAACAAGACAGCTAAAGTTAGCCGTCTTGTTAGCCGCTAAGGACCGTGTCTTTAGCGACATGATAAGCTGCTGCTTTATTAATGTTGTGCTACCTCTCACTGTAAGACTTGAAAATCAAAAAAAAAACGTAGCTGAAAGGGGGAAGGGAAGTCTGAGATCGTCATCATTGCATGTTTCTATAAAACGATTAAATTAGTTCTGTGCATTTAATCCATCACACCTGACATACACCCAGGTGGAGCAGTGGGCAGTTATGTAGGTGCTCGAGGAGCAATTGGAGATTGGGTCTCTTGCTCAGAGACACCACGACATGTGGCTGGGAGTTGAACCGCCACTCTCTGGTCCCAGGTCAGCTGCCCTGCCTCTACCCCTTCTCAGCCCTCCAAGTGTAGAACAAGCTTAAATTAGCATTAAAAAAAAACCGGAAAGAATTATGTTTGCTCAATTAGACTGAAAGAAGCAGAAATAAGCACAAGAAAAGGGAAATTATCTGGAAAAAACTGAAATTAGCAACAAAAAAAACAAACAGCTGAAATGTAGCTAAAAAGGCATAAATAAGCTCACACTACAAGAAGGGAGGGGAGAAAGAGCACAATTTTGCTGAATTAGGCTGAAAGAAGTTGAAATGAGTGCAAAAGTGTGGAAGTAGCTGAAAAAGTTTAAATTAGCATGATTTAACTATTTCAGCTAAATAGTAGCTGAAATTGTAGAAAAAGCTGAAATGTGCATAAATAAGCTGTAACTAGCAGAAAATAAGTTAGAAGAAGCACAGAAACATCTTAGTTAGCAGAAAGAAACTGAAAGGAGCACAAAACAGCTGAAACAAACTGATGAAAGTAGCTGAAAAAAATGTTTAAATTTGCACAAGGAAGCTGAAAGAAGCCGACGCAGAACAAAATGTGACAGGAGCAGTAAAATGTTGTAAACACTTCTAAAGATTTGAAGGAAGTAAAATGAGCTCAATTCATTTTCTATGAGATAAAAAAAAATGGCAGAAAAGGCTAAATATTTCAAAAAGCTAAAGTTGCACCAATACCAAAAGTCATAGCAGGATTGTCCTGAAAGAGCTGAACGTTTTGTGAAATGAATTGTTGATATAGCTTAAAAACTTGCTGGACGAGAATCGCGCCGAAAAACGTACGGAAGAAAAGAGAATCCCAGTCGAGTGAATGCTTCGTGAACATTCACTCGACTGGTGATTTCATAAATACATCAGTGTGTTTAGATCAGCGCACTGAAGCCTTTTGATTCGTTTCTGAATCTAGGATTGTTTTCTCTCTCTGCAGGTCTGTGGACTGCAGCTATTTTCCACCATGTTTTCCAGCTACACAATGCCATTGCTGTGTGCGTGCACGTGTGTGTGACGTGCACGTGCAAATGTCCCATTCGGAAATTGTCAGCAACTTCCAGGCTCCATCGCTCGGCAGATTTTCAATCATCTTTTATAGCAAAGTTGTCTTATCCTATTTTTCTCTTCTCAAATAGTTAAAATCCAAAAATAAATGTTTTGCTTTTTTGAGTCTTGTTTTACGTCTGAATGTTTTTCATCTGAATGAGTGGGAAACAAATGTATAGGTTGCTTCTAATCTGAGTCTTATTTTGTTACTCTACAGTTGATGTAATTTGACTTTAAAACAAATGTCTATTAAAAAAACAACATCTTTTGTAAAACGAGTTTCAGATATAAAACATTTAACATCTTGTTACAGAATGAATGTATCGTCCTCTAAAGGAGGAGTGGCTGTGAATAAAAACTCATGGCAGTCCTCCGATATACTGCGAGAAACAAACCCCAACCTGTCGTTTCACACGGTTCCTCCTCGTCTTGAAAAGTTTGAAATTTGATTTGAGTGTTTTCCAGGTTTGGATCAGTATGGAGGTCCCGACTCTTCCCCCTCCCGTAAAAAAAGTTTAAATTATTTTAATTGATCTGAAAATAACTTTCATTTAAAATAACTTTCCCAATCAGCTCAAGTATTTTCAAACTGGTTATAAAATGAAAATGGTATTTTTGTAATTGTTTTGTTTACAACAAGCTTTAATGTTGGCATTATAAATATAACATGGGGTTTAAATGAAAGATTTAAACACCGGCACCATCAGACCTGTTGAGGTTTCACTCAGACGTTACTCAGGTGATAAAACACAATACAAAGTGAAATATGTCATTTTTTACTACCATAAACTCGTTTGAAATAAAGAAACTGGCTTTTGCGTTCTTTTTTTGTTTGGTCTGAATTTCCTTCCTTTGTTCCAGAGAACAAGCCCTCCACAAATATCTGCCACAGATTTATAGAAGTTATTTTGTATTTAAAAGTAGTCTGGAGACTGTTGGAGAATGTCTGCAACTTTATGATTGTCTTATACTCTACTGCAGGTGTGCAATGTTTTCCCCCCTAAAGTTATTTCAAGATATTTAAAGCAAACAAAGCACCACTTATAGAATTGAAAAATAAAATTTATTTAAGACCGATAATCTGGAAGACTTGGTATTCAGGGTTTTTCTTGGAATTGGCATGCTTAACTAAAAATATGCCTCCTTAGTAGTATAAGACATGTTCTGTAAATTGGCTCTTGTGAAAATACATTATCCTAAATATGCAACAAATGAAACGTTTATGATTGCTTTTTTGAGTCTTAAGATTTTGTCAGGTTTTAGCCTGTCCTGATCTAAATGTTTTCCATGTGTTTGTCCAAGAGGTTTAATTTAAACTTCTTCAAGTTTCACTGATAAAATGCAGGTTTTCATCAACTTATTTAAAAGTTGTTTTCTTTTTAACTAAGAATTTTTGGGGGCCAAATGGAGATTGTTCGAGGGCCACTTTTGGCCCTGGGGCCACATGTTGGCCAGGTCTGCTCTGGTGTACAGTATGTTTTGTTAATTTCTTCAGCCAAACCAACATTATTCACATGTTCATCATTCAAACCTAAAGTTTTTCCAGCCCTGTTTGCAGTTATCCAGACCTCTACAGCTTATATGCTCCAGTGCCTTATTTCCTTGTCATTGTGGTGCATTTTCACAAAAAAATGACATTTTTTTTATGTTGATGTGCTCATCTGAAATCAAAGCTGTTCAGGTAAATGTTGGGTGACACCAGAACAAAAAATGCTAACTAGTAGAACCAAAAAGTTTTTTTCTTATTTGAAATGTTTGTGACACCAAATAGCCCAATGAGCTCTGGATTTGTGTTAATTTCAAAGCTTGAGGCCCTGTTTTGTGTTGAAGGTGACTTTTTGCATCAAAAGACATGAAATATTTTTTATTTTTTTATACTAGCTTTTGCTTAAAATTTGAAATTATTTCTTTAATAAAGCCAGATTTACTTGCATTTTGTTTTGATAGTTATTTCAATTTAACATTCTGTTATATTTCAACTCATGTACTTGATTTCCTTAATTTTGTATCAACTCAATGATTAATAAAATGCTGGCATGACCAGCTGCTATACTGTCTGCTAGTGTGCCGCCATTTTGAAAGGTACATAATAGTTCATAAATCATTGAAAATGACCTAAACTTTTGTCCACTATGCATGCTGTCAGAAATACAAAATCAATAAATGTTCTATTAGAGAAGCCTTATACACTTATGCATGCTCACAACCACACACAAATAGAAGCAGGGATGCTTATGTAGGCTTTATATGTAGATATATAGATATGTATGTGAGTGTATATTCATGTGTATGTATGTACGTATGTATATAGGCGTAGGTATGGGTATATATATTTATGGAAACTTACTGCAAAGCCATGAATATTTTAAGTTCTTTATACATATGTATTTTGTTGCTGTGTTTTGTCATGTTCTTTGCAGGTGAACAGACAGTGGCCGGGTGTTTTGACGTGTGCTCTATTTGTATATATTTCTTATATTTTGGAGTCTTACTTTGTCTTTTCTTTCTTTCTATCCTAATAAAAAAATAAAAACCTACACTAGATAGTCACTATAATAAATATTTCATAATAATGGTGTGGAGAGGATGGCTATAAGGGGAGAAGGGAGGCCATCACAAAAAAAAAAAAAAAAAAAAAAGAAATACAAAATCAAACATTTTGGCATGAGCTTGCATTTAAACGCTCTGTTTTTGTTACACAATTTAGATACAGGGCGTTAACAGAATGTACAATGACTACTGATCACTAATGATTGCTGTACAATGACTCATTCCTTACAAGATGGCTGCCATACATCTGTAGCCTGTTAGCAATGCTACAAGACACATCCAAGTCATTTCCGGTGTCAAGCTGCTGGTTTCCTGTGACGGTGGTTGACTCAAGCCGCCATTTCATTTTCCGAGCTTCAACGCAGACTACAGTTCGCAGGTATGAATTTATTCATTCATATGGGACAGTTTGTAAGAAATTTGTTGTCAGATTGATCAAAATGCGATACAAATTTTTCAAATTGGAGCTAAACTGTGGTTGATCTCAGCGCTAACTTCCGCGTTAACGAAAGCGCGTGCAACCTTCGCTGTGGTAGGCCGAAGCCTAAAAACGTAAAAAAAAAAAAATCTACATGACTTTTTAATTGAGCGGGGTATGTATTGTTTTCATTTACTGACTGTTATTTGTCCGATCTTATGTCTTGTCTGTCACATAATTAAATAAAAAGGTTGATGATTGCATTCGGCTCGACGAGCTAAGATTAGCTGCCATGCTAATAGTGGGGATAAACCTGCATGTCTCGAAGACATCACACGAGGTCCCACGAATTTTATACTTTATATCAGTGTGGGACCGTGTCTGTTTATAGCTTCAATTTTGCATTGAAGCGTAAATGTTTTGAATTATGATCGGTATTGTTTCGATACTAGTGCAAGCAGGGCAGTCATTAGTATAGTTTATGAGGTCGAGCATTGTCCTCATGCTGAGTCAGTAATCCAGGTAGATAAATCTAACGAAGTCCTCTGGATGGATTCTTCTTGAAACGTTTAGTCTTATACAAAATACTTCTGGTATCAATAGTAGTATAGTAGAAGTCTAGTATTCAAATGCCAAGGAGACATTTTTTTTGGTCTAACTTCTAATAAAATAAAATTCACAGACTCATGTTCATGTTTGTGCTGATGTTCAATGTTTTATGTTATGAGTGCTTAGTGTATATTTAGTTGATGTTTTTCTTAGTTCATATCTTAGATGTTATTACTGTTTTTCTTATACATTTTATTGTTGGATGTAACTGGGACCCTGCGTACATAATTTCGCTCCACCACATGTACCACATGAGGTGCGAATGACAATAAAGAAACTCTGACTCTGATAGAAGACTGACAAAAATGTCTAAATTGTCAGGAAGATCTATTTCTTTAGTTGGATTTGCAGCCCTTTGGTGGATTTCATGTATGTACGACCATCTGGAACTAATGGCATGTGGAGCTTGTAAACCACAGATTTGTTCTGTTTTGCATGGCGTTTGCAGATACAGTAGTCCCTCGTTTATCTTGAGGATCCGTACCTTGAAGCCCCGCGATAAGTGAAAAACCGTGAAGTAGTACAAGTAGTAGTTTAGTTTGGTATTTATAATTTATATCTTAAGGTGTTTTAAACCCTTCCCACACTTGCAATATTGTAAACAATGTTTCTAAAGTAAACGCTCTAAAAGAGCACAGGACATCGTGAACTCTGCTCTCTGCCTCCGCTGCACTCGCCTCCTGCAAGTGCTCTTGGCCACGCCCACTTCTCTGCTCTGCATGGAGCACGGCTGATCACTCCTACAGCTTATCTTGCAGTGTGGAGGTGCTAAATATTTTTAAATAATTTATTTTAAATAAAAATTCCATGCCAAACGTGCGTCTCATCCATCAGTCAATTATGTGTCATGTCCAATCTTATTTTGAAGATCTGTGATAAACGAACTGCGAAGTAGCGAGGTTTTAATTAAATACGTACCGCTAACATTCACAAATCCATACAGTATGTTTTTTTCTGAACAGTGCCTGTAACACTGCTGGTTTAAAAAAAATACAGTAGCCTACCAGGAATTCATTGATCCCTATCGTCACCTTCCTTCTGCATACTGTGCCCTTGAGCTTGTGCTGTCCTCCATCACGCAGCTGCCTGCATCCCACTGAGTTTGGTGTGCCATTTTAAATGCATGATTCACACGTATTTCCAAAAGTCGGGGGGGGGGGGGGGGGGGCTTCGTTTCCCTCTCCCTCCCGGTTTCATTGGTCCACTGTGACCTGTTTGGTAATTTCATTGGTCAGATTTTTTTTATGCTGGTAGTCTCATTGAGTCACAAGGACCCACCCCTCAAAAGAGACATGCATTGAGCAGCTATGTGAGCGCTCGGTGTGGCGAGGTTAAATGTTTTGGCTCGTTTACCCGTCAAAAAAACATAAATTAGCTGCAGCAATGTATGAGCTGCGGGGTTCAAAGCATGGGGGGGTGGGGGTGGTAGTGGCTTATAGTCAGGAAATTACGGTAATCTGATGTCGCAATTATAAGAAGAAAAAATGCAGGGTCACCAAGCTGTAAATAATTTTCTTTATTACATTCATTAAAGCACACTGTATAAACGTTTGCAGAAAATGTACATACAGATGTTTAAACACCAGAAAGTCTCGGAAATTTTGTCTAAAATTTTAAATTGGAAAATTTGTGGTAAACTTGTGCAGGGAAACTGTGAATGGAAATCAAACACTTCTGAAAATGTCAAATAAATGTTTAGTTTAAACATGCATTTGATGTTATTCCTTTTTTCCTCCCATTTAGTGACGAAAAGTCTCCACAATGGTGAAAATATTCATTGGAAACGTGGCCCCCGATACAACATCGGATGAACTTCGCGCTCTCTTCTCCCAGTATGGCAAGATCTCAGAATGCTCGATTGTCAAAAACTTCGGCTTTGTCCACATGGATAACAAGGCTGAGGCAGAAGAGGCCATCCGTAACCTTCACCAGTACGATTTAAATGGTCAGCCCCTGAATGTAGAATTGAGCCGTGGAAGGTCAAAAGGATCCACCAAACTCCATGTTGGCAACATCGCATGCACCAACCAGGAGCTGAGGGCCAAGTTTGAAGAGTTTGGCACCGTGCTGGAGTGCGACATTGTAAAAAATTATGCTTTTGTTCACATGGAGCGAATGGAGGATGCCATGGAGGCTATTAATAAGATGGATAACACGGCTTTTAAAGGTGAACTCTTGGGGTGGGTTTGATGGGAAATTACAACTAGAATAATGAAATAGTGTCATGAATATTAAGTTCTTGTCAATTTACAGGTAAGTTGTGAATGAAGCACAGGTGAGTAAAAGGAGAAAAGCAGCATCATTTTAAAACATGTTTGTAATTTCATGAGTATGTTCTAGTTTATTTATTTGGGAAAAAACTGACACAAAGTGGAGATTTGAACTTGTTAATTTGTAATGGTTTTGGATTTAAATTGCGTTACAGCCAGTTTAATTTAGAGTAAACGTGGACTGATTGCAGGTTTTAAGTTTTTTTTTTTTTTTTTTTTTTTTCATTCAACCTTTATTTAAACAGATAAATCACATTGAGCCTCGAAGACTCATTTACAAGTGAGAACTGTTTGGACAGACAAAAACTGGTTAACTGGACACATGTAGGAGTTGGAGTATACTGCGGTGTTAACAGTCACTGCATCGAACCACAAACATTTTCAGACGTACCCGTTTATTTTTTGTTGAAACACCTTATTTATATCTGAGCATTAAAATTATAAATATTTTAGTTAGGCCTGTCACGGTAACAAATTTTGCTGATTGATTGTCTCAGAAATTATTGCGATAAATGATAATATTGTTTGAAATTTAACAATAATTGTCAAATTTAAAAAATGTTGATTTGTTTGGAGTGTAGTACCTTTTTTGACCACCTGATGGCAGTATAAGACTGTTTAAACCAAAGGATGGATAGTTGAGCAGTGTGTCTCTAAGAAAAATGGTAGGGAGGGCCCTTGACGCGACATGGCGGACGCTCTGTGGTTTGAGCTCTTTATCATAGCATTTTTCACACAAAGCTTTTAATTAAAAAATCAGTAAACAAGTTCTTAGCTTCTTTTTGCAGAGAAAAACAACTTTTACCATATCATACCATTTTATTTATAGAGCACTTAAAACGGCTACAAGGCCAACCAAAGTGCTGTACAGACAGAACAACAGGTGACACACAAAGCAAAATACAAAATGAAGTAAACCAAAAATATAGACATAAAAATGATGCAGATAATAAATATGACGACTAACCAGTGTGGAGCATACAGGTTCACAACACAGACCTGGTGTTGAAAGCTACTGAATAGTAGTGAGTTTTTAAACAGGATTTGAAAACCGAGAGGGAGGGGGCCTGTCTGACATGCAGAGGTAACTCGTTCCAAAGTCTTGGTCCCACTACAGAGAAGGCCCTGTCACCTCTGCGCTTAAGACGAGTTCCTGGAACTGTGAGGAGCAATTGGTCCGCTGACCTCCGAACATGGAGGGACATACGGTTGTAGCAGATCAGAGAGATTTGAGGGGGTGGGGGCAAAACTGTTCAGCGACTTGTAGACATACAGGAGTATTTTGAACTGGATTCGAAGGTGAACTGGTAACCAGTGCAGTGAGGCCAAAACTGGTGTAATGTGCTCTCTTTTGCCTGTACTGGTTAAAAATCGGGCTGCTGCATTCTAGACCAGTTGTAGTCATACTATAGAGGTCTGACTGATACCAAACAGGAGCGAATTGCAGTAATCAAGCCTAGATGTAATGAATGCATGTATTGCTGTCTCCAGGTTCTTTTTGGACAATATGGGCTTCAGTTTAGACAGCCGCCTCAGTTGGAAGAAGCATGATTTAACAATCATGTTTACGTGACTGTTAAGTTTCAGGGAAGGGTCCATTATCACTCCTAGATTAGTGACTCTTTGTTTTTCTGACAGGGTTAGAGCGGAGAGGTCGATGCAGTGGTTTGTGAACATGTCATTGGGAGGGAACAACATGACTTCAGACTTCTTTTCATTGAAACTTAAGAAATTTAAAGCCATCCAGTCCCTGATGTCAGCCAGGCAGTTGAGCAGAGGTTGAATAGAGCATGTACCATTGTGTCTTAGGGGAAAGTAAATTTGACAGTCATCGGCGTAGAAGTGGAAGGGCATGTTGTGTTTCCGGAAAATAGCACCAAGTGGCAGAAGGTATAAAGAATAGGAGGGGACCCAGGATGGACCCCTGCAGAACCCCCCATTTAAGCTTTGTCGCTGCAGAACTAAAATCCTTGATGGAGACACAGAAGGATCTGTCAGTGAGGTAAGATCTGAACCAATTGAGGGCTGACCCTGTGATGCCCACCCACTGCTCCAACCTAGCAATGAGGATCTTATGGTGTCAAAGGCGGCTGTGAGGTCCAATAGGACAAGTAGCAACTTTTTACACAAAGGCTTGGGTTTCAACCATGAATTTAGGAGCTCGACAAGATGAGGGGTTCCCCCTGAGGTTGGCCTGTTAGATTAGCTTGTAGCTTAGCTTCTCAGCTTAGCTGTTTTTAATGATCCAAAAATGGGATTTTGGATGATTAAAACAGATTTTAAAGAGAAAGGGAGGGGTTAGTGAAGTGCACCGGAGTTGAGTCGTGTCATCAGTAGAAAGAGAGACCTGAAGAAATGATAAAGCCATTAAATGAACATGAGGTCGATGATTTTCATTCATCATGTGATTAATTAATTTATTGTTTATCGTGACAGGCCCAATTTTAGTACATCGTTATAACTAAAAAATAATGGGCTATGTACACTGCCTGGCCAAAAATAAGTCGCCACCAAAAAAAGGTCACACACTAATATTTCATTGGACCACCTTTAGCTTTGATTACAGCAGCATTCACTGTGGCATTGTTTCGATAAGCTTCTGCAAAGTCACAAGATCTATTTCCATCCAGTGTTGCATTAAATTTTCATTAAGATCTTGCATTGATGACTAGGCACTAGGCATGATGGATGCATCACTTCACCTGCCTCTCTTACCCTGATGCACCCATCACTCTGAACAAGGTAAATCTGGACTCATCAGACCACATGACCTTCTTCCATTGCTCCAGAGTCCAATCTTTATGCTCCCCAACAACTTGAAGCCTTTTTTTCCGGCTAACCTCACTGATTAGTAGGGATGCACGATATTATCGGCATGGTATTGGTATCGGCCGATATTGGCGTTAAAGTTCAATATCGGACATCGGCCATTCCATTAAAATAACTTGGCAATATCAAAGGCGCTGTTTTTGCCTGCAGCAGCAGCACAACGTGATGACGTCATGTGCACCTACCTGATCTCACGGTGGAGAGGAAAATTCAAAATGTTGTCGTGTGGAAGTTTTATTTTTTGTTGGTGAGGATGTCGGATTCTGAAGATTTATGGACTACGTTGAGCCTCGCTACATCGTCCCCAGTCAGAGATATTTTTCAGACGTAACGTTACCAGAGTTAAAAGCCGTCATTTCTGACGTCATTAAGAAGCTAATAGCTGATAGCACTTGGGTGAGTTTTACCACAGACATTTGGACGTCGTGTTAGCCCCGTTAGCATGATTAGTTTTACAGCACAATGGATAGACAAAAACTTTGATCTTAAAAAGTCTGTCCTTCTTGTACAAGAGTGCAGAGGATCCCACACTGCAGCTAGGAACCTGGAACAAGCCTCCGCAAGTGAGTCAGCATCGCAGGCGACTAATGCTAATAAATAACATTTAACACTTTTCATTTAATATAAGTTAAAGTGCTATACATATCATATGGTTGTTTCTGGATATATGTCACCAGCTCTTATAGCTGTTACACAATTTTTGTAGCAAATAAAGTATAAATAAAGGGGCTATGTTCTGACAAAGTAACATATATAAAATATCAGTATTGGTTATCGGCTGAATAAGTTTTTACATATTGGATATCGGCCAAAAATCCAATATTGTGCATCCCTACTGGTTAGTGTTTTTTTAATTACTTTATTTTACCAGGAACAAATCCATTGAGATCATCAATCTCTTACAAGGATGTCCTGGCTACACAGCTGTTCAGTCATAGTCCCTTGAGTTCCTTCACATTGTGCATGTGGAAATGCTCTTACTTTCACCATTAAACAGCCCTGAGCGCTACTGTTGTTGTTCTTCCATTTGTTTTCATCAAACGTTTAAGTATTCACCGATCACGATCATTCAGGATTTTTTTTCCGGCCACATTTTGTCCTCGAAGACGATGGGTCCCCACTGTCCTTCCAGTTTTCAACAATGTGTTGGACAGTTCTTAACACAATTTTAGTGGTTTCTGCATCCTCAGATGTTTTCTCTGCTTGATGCCAATGATTTGACCCTTATCCAATAGGAGGCTCGTACATATTTCTTAGTTAAATCCAGGTGGCAAGGTTTTTTTTTGGCCAGGTAGTGTACATAAGTGTATAGATAGATTGGTGTGGGGGTGCAGAAGATGTAATAACTGCTTCATTTTTTTTAATTAAAAAAAATTGTGGTGCATTTTGAAAATTTAGTGTTCTCGTGAAACCAAGGTATTTGTGCCTAAAGTTATACCGTCTCAGTTCCATTCCGACTCATGCCTAATTGGGAGAAACAAATGTCATCTTACCGGTACTTTGACATCAGTGCTTTGTTCAAATGAAACTAATGTTTCTGATGGTGGTTACCAATTTTACATCTGTGTGGTTGGTAATGAATCGATTTTGCATTCAGCTATTCAGTCCCAAGTGATCACAGCGTACATTAAATTATCTTTCAGACCAAAGGCAGGAGAATACGGAGACGTTACAGGTTTCAACTTTAGTAATGAAATGTGCTCCAATTTAAAACCCATGTCTTAATGCTACTTTTTGAGTATATTGCACCTTTTTTAGTAGCATTTATGTCGCACAAGAAATGTGAAGTGTCGGTACACGTCCTTACCGAGTGTTCTCTTTTTAAGGAAAACTGATGAGCGTGAAGCTTTCTACTAGCCGCCTTCGTACTGCGCCGGGAATGGGAGACCGAGCGGGGTGTTATCGTTGCGGGCAGGAAGGCCACTGGTCCAAAGAATGCCCCTTAGACCAAAACAGCTACCAGAAAAATGGCTCGGAGCCAAACTCTGATGGATACGATCCCTCGGGATTTGGCGGGCGCGGTCGCACCCGGGCTTATCCAGACTTCAGCGGCGCTCCGGAATATGACGCCAGCTACGGTCATGGTTTTGGTCAAACCAGCAGCATGGCAGGTTACAGAGGAGGTACAGGCTATGAGAGCGCAATGAGATACGGGCCACAGCCGGGTTACGGCATGAGTTCTGTCGCTGATCCTAGCATGGCTCGGATGTACAGCAGCGATCCGACATACAGGGGCAGCGCCTCACTCTACGGTGCGGTACCAGCCTTCTCGGTGCGACGGTCGCCTTACGAGGAACGGGATCCGTACGGTGTCGTGGACTACTACGAGAAATACAGGGCAAATTATGGAAGCAATTATTTTGAGGAACGCCGTGCTGCTCCGGTGCCTGTCCCAACAACGCCCGCCACTACTGCTGTACGGGAACGTGTGCCGCCCTCGAGCGTCGACCCATACCAGTGTCCTCCCCTCCCTCCTCCAGTGGCCCCAGTCCCGTCATACTACGCACGTGAACGGAGTCCGATACGGAGAGTCGCCGGCGAGGCGGGTGGATTTACATACGAGCGTGCGCGGCTTTCCCCAGCGACCGCAACCCCAAGAAGTGCTACCTTTGAGCATTTACGGGATCCTGCCGCTGAGCGGGCACGGTATACTTACTAAATGTTCTAGCTCAGTCAGTTAACTAACCTGAAGCAGGTAGAATAGCCTAAGTGCCACTGGAATTGATAAAAATCCAACAAAGTTGTGTATCTGTGTTTTCAGAACCTAGAAGTCTGTCCTCTTTCTGAAAATGTGTGGGTGGGCAGTACTGACATGATTTAGGAAGGTTTTTTTTTTTATTATTAACCAGCGGGTAGATTTCAGTGTAGTACATGGAATATACGCAATGATCCCATTCCAGGTTATGTTTATGTGCAGTACAACTATTGGCTCCATTTTATTTTCCTCTTTGTCTTATGTTATTTGTGCAGTTTTCACATAATCTAGCCTGTGTATTTGCTAGTAGGTTTTATCTATCAGATGGATTCACAGTGTATTGAGGATTAAACTTTAGCCTTTTCGATAAAAGCTGCATGTTAAAATACTCTTAGTGGTGCATGTATGTTTAAAGGTGAGTACCAAGATTAATCCTAATTTGGTTAAAGTTTTGGCGTTTCTATGTGCGTTAGTTGTAGTATCTTAGTGAAGTAGACATTCTTACTGCCTAGATGTGAAGCAGAACGAAGGTGAAACCAGGATCTCACTGGGCTGAGGAGTTGGCAAACGTCATAAGGGGGTCGCCAGATTTTCAGAGGTTCTCAATTGTCGCACGAGTCCCAGAGGCTTGCAGTCCTGTGGTTTGCATTTGGAGCACGTTCAAAAAGTGACAACTTATTTTTGGTGGTTTGTCAGTACGGGCGTCTTAAGCCTTCAGTGTTTGTCATGTGTGTCTCCAACCCATCATCTCGTGCTCCTCAGTTGGATTTTGACGCAGGGAACACTTCTCTAACAGAAAACATGCTCAGGTCTAATAACCACACCACGGACGAATAATTATTCTTAAAAACGGTTCTAATCTGTGAGTTTGAGTGTCCCAACAGTGGCAGCCCGGTGAGATGCTGCCTGAATGCCGAGTGCGTCTTCATCAGATGTGGATCTGTAGATAACTAAAAAGGTGGCAGGTTGATTTTTTTCCTTTTCCATTTTCATAATTACAACTCGAAACTTTTTTTTTTAGCGATTTTAAAATATTTTATGTTCTTGTGATGAGGTTCCAGATCTTGTGATGCAACCTGATCTCAGCAAAGAGCGTGTCTATAAACACATTTGCTGACACAGTTTTATTTTTGTGCTGTTGGATACAAGTCGTGTCATCACCTCCTGCTCCAACACTCGTAGGAACGACTGGATCGAAGCTACATGAGCTCCAACATGAGCAGTTTGGGTTTTTGACTTCCTGTTTTTCCTTCATTACAAAGTAATTCTGTTGGGGGTCGCCCGTTATAAAGCCCACGGGTAATGTTGGATGTTTGTTTTAATAGAAGTTTAATGATTAAAAGAACAAGTTGTTTTCTGCACCACTAGATATGGATCTTTAGGTCAGGGCATACAAACACAACTTGGTGTTGCTTGTAAAATTGTGATATTTTGTGTTTTGGATGTTTCTTTTTTTAACTCTGACTGGGTTGTGTTGTCACATTGAACTGATCTTGGTTGCCTCTTTAACTTTTTTCCTCCCCCCTTCAATAAAAGTCGAGTTTGAAAACTGTTTTCTGTGTTTTCTGATCAAATGTGATTTTTTTTTCATCAGAAATTTGGTACAAAGTGCAAATTATTACACAGCCACTGTGTAAAATGCTCCACATGATTTTAGCACTGTATTTTTAATGAAAGGTGTGAATTGGAACAATCTGACGTGTGTTAAAACCACTGGGCCTGTTTATTTTGTGCAAATACATCTACAGCTGAGCACTCTGGCTTTATGAACTTGTTCAAAATGTAAACGAGGCCTTTGTTCATAGTCGAGCAGCTGAAAGGTGTGGAAGCTCGTGTACGCCCATGAAAATAAAGAAAAGGTCAAATGGTTGTGACTTTCAAGGTCATAATTAGGAGATAAATTCTTGTTTTGGTTTTACTAAAGTTTTTCCATTATGACTGAAAAAAGTTCTGACTGTATGGGACGTTGCCATGTCTGCTGGCTTCTTTAGATGACTTACCACTTTTCTATGTATGGGAATGTTTTTGTACAGCGTCCTGAGACGGCCTCTGTTGGGACTTGGTGCTGTATAAATGAGCTGAATTAGTACAAAGTTTGTTTTCTCAGTCATCCAAGTATATAACAACAAAAAAGGTTGAATCATGTCATCTGGACTTCGTTTTTTTGTTAAAAAGAAACGTTTCGCCCCTCATCCAAGAGGCTTCGTCAGTCTGAGGCCTAGCCATCTGGTATTACCCAGAAGCCA